ATTTTAGTCCAAGTCTCCCTAATTTTTATTATATAACTAGCATGTAATCTGTATTATGCATGAATTATTTTTATATTAAATTATATACTGATTTAATAATTTTTATAAATAATAATTATAATATTTTTATATATATAATACATTATTCGAATAAAATTAATTTGAAAAATAAAATAAATAATAAAAATTTGCAATTTATAGAAAATAAAAATAAAATTGTTATATGTTAAAACATAATTTTTTATATGAATTTTTTAAATATTTTTTCAATGAAAAAATTCAAAATTCAACAGTCTATTAAAATATTATACTAAAAATTAAAAATTAACCTTAAAAAATACATATACAATAAGAATGACAAAATTTATTAGTAAAACAATACAATAAATAATTTTTAAAATGCATACATTCTTTCTTTCTTTGGTTCTTGCTTTTTGAAATTTTTTTTTTTTGTTTTGTATCACCGTATTAATATTATACTAATATATTAGTTAAAACTAAAAAGAATATATAACAACATTATAGGACAATAGTTAATTTATGCATAATTAAATTTAAATTTTTTAAAATTAAACAAAAATGCAATCTTTGCAAAAATATGAATAACAATAATCAATTATATATATTGCATATAAAATATAATAAAATATGAAAATTTTTAATATGAAAAATCTTTTAAAATAAAATAAAAGTCACGGTCAACCAAATCAAAGTAGAAAATTTATTATAATAAAATTATATATAAAAGTCCTTCCAATAATGCTTGTAAACACGTTATAATCACCACAGTATGAATCGATGAAACTCATAAACTTAAAAAAAATTAAGATCAAGATTATGAACAAAAAGAACTTTCACCTTATATATGTAATATTTTGATCCAACTACAAATTATCTAATCACTTAAACTCTATGAAACTTCAACTTAATCAACAGATTTTTTTTTGTATCAAAGAATCAAAGAAACTATATATTAGTATAAATAAAAAGAATACGATTTTTAAAAACAAAACCAAAAATTTTAAATCGAACAATTTATAAAATTAAAACTCAGGTATATATATAGAGATATACAGACTCTAATTTTATCCATATGTTTGTTATTTATTATCATAATAAATTTTAATTTTATTAGATTATTTCTTATTTTAACAAATTCTAATTAATTATCCAAACTCAATATTAAAAAAATAATAATAAAACTAAAAAAATATGAGAATATAGGAATTTGAGTGTCATGTCAAATATATATATATATAATAAGTGGCGGACCTAAGATTATATTCGAGGGAGGGCTAATTTTAAAATTTACAAGATAATATATTTTATTTATAAATATTTATTTGTTATCCGAAAAAATTATCATTCTGATTATTATATTTTTTTAAAAAATAAATATAAATAACGAACTACATCAATAATAATAGTTATAAAATGTATTATAAATATATCTTTTTGTATTCCTTTTTATTCAGACAAAATATATAATTTTTTAGTATTTTTTTATTTATCCATTTTTTCTGTATTATATATATTTATATAAAAAATACATAAATTTTAATAAATAAATAAAAAAATTGGGATGGGGAGGTGGGGCTGCAGCCCACCACCTTGGTCCGTCCCACCTTGGTCCGTCCCTGTATATAATACACACGTATGCGGTACAAAAAAAGAAAAAGAAAAAGCCCACTCCATAAAGCGTTGGTTGGCAAAAATTGATTTAATTGTCTATCAATTTCTGCAATCGAGTGGAACACAGTGTGACACCCTGGCTCACAAGCCACGCAAAACCGAGCGTGTCGGGATGTCGTAGATTGGCTCCACATGTCAACACGAGCTCTTTCAGCGCGCACATATCCTCACTCACGCGCACCGCTTAACTTTAGAGTTCTTTCAGTATGGTTTCCGAAATATAGTATTTTTAAAAGGTCAATGAAGGAGAGCCGTCCAATATTGGCATTCCTTTGTCACATCAACAAAATTGTAATTTCATTTTCATAGAAAAGAAAAAGCAGAGAATGGCGAACGAGAGTTTGCATAATATATGTTTAATTAAAATAAAATAATAATAATAATAATTATATGTAAAAATTATATTTAAGTCATCATATTAAGCATTTAATTGTATCATATTAGATATAATTATTTTAATTTAAATATAATAATTATTATTATTATAAAAAAATTTAAAAAATCAACATAAAGAGCCAGATTCTTTGTATGGAACAGTTGTTTGGAATAGTGTATGATTGATTGAATTATACAGCATGTCTGTTGCAGGAGACAACTATATGTAATAATGGGACAGCCTTTGGACATTTTTCAGCCACCAATTAATCCCAACAATTATTTGAAGAACAAAACAAAATGATACAGCAGAGATAAGTTCTGAAAATTGGACAGGATGAGTTTCACCATGCCTGTATTTGATTTAGTACACCAACTTTTAAGGATCCAATATCAATTAGTCTAAAACAAACAATCAACCAAAAATTATGAAGAGTGGGTTAGAAAGCATGAAAAAAAATTTATTGTACTACCTCTGTTCCATAAATCGGTAATATTTGCTTTTTGCACGTAGATTTTTAAATATTAATATTATATTAGTTTATAGTGAAAAAGAATGTCGTTATTAGATTGCGTGATATTATATTGGTTTATAGTGAAAATAACAAAAATATTCGTATTAGATTATGTGATATTATATTGGTTTATAGTGAAAATAACAAAAATGTCCTTATTAGATTGCGTGATATTATTAAATACTATTAGATTTTTAAATATTAGTATTATATTGGTTCGTAGTAATATATTGAAAATTGTAAGAGTATTAATAGAAAATAGTACTTTTGTTTTGGGACGGACATAAATATAAAATAGTATTCTTCTTATAGGACGGAGGGAGTATAATTTTATGTGGAGCATCGAATTATCTATAGAATAATGTAAAAGGAAATTTACTAAACAATATAAGAAATTTGTTGAATAATGTAGATTTAGTTACTTTTTAGCATCAAAACCAACACACATTTTAATAAAATCTTGAATATATTTTCAAAAATTTAAAAGTAGACGCGTCGTTGGCAAACAGGTTCAATAGTGAAATGGGCACGAGGAATGTAGAAATGATATTTTTTTTGGGAAGCAACAAACTCGAGAAACATAAGGTCGATGAAAATGACATCAACGATCGAATTGCCTTATGCTTCTTTGAATAATTTTGACAGTGACAAAGATTCCAACGGTCCAAATTCAATATCGAAGTTGTATCGCAAGATATTAAGCAAATTGTTTTAATTTTATTTCAACTAATTTTGGTCTTTTTCATTCACCATCTTATAGCTGGATTTATTTGTAGATCTTTTTTGAGGTTAGGGAAGACCTATGCTTCAACTTATGTATGTTCTTATATTAATATTGTTACAGAAATTAGAAAATTAAGAAAAACATATAAGAGTACAAAAAATTTAGTGATTCGATCATGTTGATCTAGGTTTAGAGAGACGGTCAAATTATGTATATGTAGTAGTATTTTCAAGGTGTTAATTACATAGAGAAAATACATCAATTCAGCAAAGTGACAATTAAATTAAAACTTGTTTCAACTTTAGCTTTACAGCACATCAAATATTGATTATTATAAATATATATTATACTAATTTTTATCAAAATTTCATTTTATTTTTACTTTTTATTTTTTAAAATCACATGAGTAGGGCACTTTCTTTCATTTTTTCCTTTTAAATTCCTCTTAAATTGATGAGAATTTTAATGCACGACTTTGTCATTTCTTAGCAAATAAAATTTGATTTTTGAGTAATTAAGGCACACTCAGCAGAGCAAATTAAATTTGTATGAAATCTGTAAATGAGTTTGTTTTAATATTTTAAATAAAAAATATTATTCATTTGACATTATTTTCAATAAAAATATTATTATTATTATTTTTGTTATAAAACGTTATATCAAAATACTATTTAAATAAAATTTAAATTAACACTCAATTTCAAATTAATTTAAAAGCACAAGCAAACAAACCATATATATATTTGTTTAACATGGCAAAAGAATAAAAGAAAAAAGAAAACACATTCACGTGCTATATAAATAATTGTATTTCATTCAAATTGTGACAAAATGCAATTATTGGAATTTCGCAACGCGTAAGTAATTTATATAAAGTATAATAATCGAATGAGCCAAAACATAAAAAGAAAAAATTCCCATGATATTTTACAATATATAATACACAAAATTACACCCTAACAAAACATAATCAACACGCATTAATAAAATAAAGTAAAAAATCACGAAAAAAAATGTAAACAGGTGAGTTTTTATTTATTTAAATTTGATTGTTAATTTAGTTGGTTGCATATAATTTTTCTTAGAAAACCCAATATATATATTACAAAAAATCGTAAAAAATTATATAATAAAAATATTTAAATTGTTGTAAAATTTACACACCCAAATTAAAAAAAAAAAAAGAAAAACCAAAAAAACAAAAAAAAAAAAAAAAAGAAAAGAAAAGAAAGAAAATGCATTCAAATCCAACTTGTGTAGCTCAAAACCCTAACAACCCTCGAAAAAAAAATAAATAATAATAATAAATTTTAATAAATTCCAGGACGTATTTTGAGGAATATTCCTATGAATTTACTTCAAGACAGCCCATGGTGACACCAATTCACAGGTCACATTTCTTTCTTGGCCCCGATCAAGTTACCAACTTCTATATTCATCTCATCGTCCGATCATTCAAAACCTACATCATCAACGGCTGTCGATTCACTTGAAACCTAAGATAATGCCGAATCGAATAATCCTTGCCCCTCCTCGACCACGAGTTGCCTTTTCCGACCAGTCTACAGGCAGGTGTAATACACTAAAAATATCTAACCTAACCCTAAATAAGTCCGAGAGGTCGGCCACTTTCGTAGGCCCCACCTCTCTCGACTCTATATATATACACGCGCGCGCACACATTTGTCGAACCAAGCTAAACTCATACCAAAAAATATAGCATTGCATTAAATCTTGCAAAACAAAAAAAAAAAAATAATGGTGGCTTTCTCAGCAAATCAATCATACACAACATCAGCACAATTGGTAAGAAGATCATCTCTTTTACCTTCAAAAACCCTAAATCTACAAACCCTAAATTTACAAACCCTAATTCCTACGAAGAAAAATGTGACATCCCACAAGCCACTCTACATCTCAGCAACTACAAGCTTCAACCACATTTCTAACCCTAGCTTGGATTCGGATGCAACCCCGTCCGTCCGGTGCAATGCCTACGAAGCTCGTAGAGCGCAATCCGTCCCCATAAGCATTGAGGTGGACGAGGATGTCGCTAAGAAGGTTAAAATTGGCGTCTATTTCGCCACTTGGTGGGCTTTGAACGTCGTCTTCAACATATATAACAAGAAGGTTTTGAATGCGTTTCCTTTCCCTTGGCTTACTTCGACTCTTTCACTAGCTGCCGGATCGCTTCTTATGCTTGTCTCGTGGGCTACTAGGATCGCCGATGCCCCACAAACCGATTTTGATTTTTGGAAAGCCTTGTTTCCTGTAAGAAATTTTCATCTTGCCTTAACTCTTTAATGACTAACATTTTTTTTTTTTTTTTTTAAGATAGCGTTGATGAATTATTGTGATTATTATATATATACATAGGTTGCGATAGCGCATACCATCGGACATGTGGCAGCAACTGTAAGCATGTCGAAAGTAGCAGTTTCTTTCACTCACATTATCAAGAGTGGCGAGCCGGCTTTTAGTGTTTTGGTGTCAAGATTTTTTCTCGGAGAAACTTTCCCCTTGCCGGTGTATCTGTCTCTATTGCCTATAATCGGAGGTTGCGCGCTTTCGGCAGTTACTGAGCTCAACTTCAACCTTACTGGTAAGCTAGATATGTTGATGACTGCAATGAAGTTTTTTTGTCGAAAGTTTAGTTAGTGTTCACTTGGTGTCTCTAAGATTTTTCGATATAAGCATTTTTTTTAGAAAGTATTCGATATTTATTATGTTTAACACAATGATCTGCACAATAGCTTATCAATTTAGCTATTTTGTCTTAACTCACCATATAATAAATTGCTAATATTTTTATCGACACTAAATTAAAAATGTCTCAGTTGTTAACTGAGATACGTATCCATGGATTCTATATATACCCTAAATTAATGTGCAAAACATTTTCACCTGTCTTTATAATGAAACACATTAAAATACAAAACTTAAACTTGGCTAAGGAAATTAAATGAACATCTTGTTAGCATTCAAAATTAGCCAAAATACACCCTATTTTGAATGAGAAATTTGATTATTTTTCTTCTAAAAAATAAATGATGAATTGGTGCAGGATTCATGGGGGCAATGGTGTCGAACATGGCATTTGTATTTAGGAACATATTCTCGAAGAAAGGGATGAAAGGGAAATCAGTTGGTGGGATGAATTACTATGCTTGCCTCTCCATGTTGTCTCTTTTGATCCTCACACCATTTGCCTTTGCTGTCGAGGGTCCCAAGTTGTGGGCTGTTGGCTGGCAAAAGGCACTCTCTCAAATCGGACCAAATTTCGTCTGGTAATTATTTCTTTCTTTGTCACTTTCTCCTTGTCTAATTTCACCATTTTGTAATTTTGTGATGTTATTCTTTTAGTCGATTCATATGGTAATTTATCAATGACCCAACTAATATTTTCATTTGATCATCAATTTGAGTTTGAATGCATTATGATACATTCAATATATATATATATATATATATATACACACATAAGTGCACCATGTAGAAGACAAGTGTTTTTACTATTTTATTAATTTTTTAACTCATATTTGAAGAAGGTTTTGTTTAGCTAAAAATATTGGAGTTTTGATAAACTTTTAGAATATTAGAAATTGATTATTTAATTTTATATTTTATAACAAAAAATAGAAATTTAATTTAATGAACTTTAAAAAGTGTGTATGTAAACAAAACCTTAGTCATAATTAATGATCTTCAATATATACATTACATTTATGTGCCTAAGATTTTTTATATTATACATGAAAAAAAAGAAAAACTATTCATTCTACATATATATATATATATATATATATGGCAATAATATGGACAAAGAGTAGTGTCAGTCCTGTGATTGCCATATCTTCAATTTTTGTCCTCAATTCATTCTTTGATTGTTACATAGCAACCCTACCTAGCCACCCACCCCTCCCCACATACATGCTATATTTATTTAATTTGTGGTTGTGAAAAATAATACATATGCAGGTGGATTGTAGCCCAAAGTGTTTTCTATCACCTATACAATCAAGTGTCGTACATGTCTTTGAATGAAATATCTCCATTGACATTTAGCATCGGCAACACGATGAAGAGGATTTCAGTAATAGTCGCGTCCATCATCATCTTCAGCACGCCGCTTCAGCCCATCAATGCCCTCGGCGCCGCCATTGCTATCTCCGGCACATTTCTCTATTCTCAGGTATTTTAAAGTTCGAAACTCAAATTTTATTTTAGGGTTTCATAATTTTTTAGTTTGAAATTAAATTTTGTCTGCCTATTCAAATTTGGACAAAATATGTACACAGAAGATAACATGTGACCCATACAGCTAGTGTCACATGTGGTCTTGTGATTCTCTTGTCATCACTTTACATATGCATTTCTATTCTTTTGATTAATTTTCTAGGATGTATTAATGAAGATACAAAAAAAAAAAAAAAAAAAAAAGAAAATTCTTGAAATTTTCATATGTAAAAAATAAAATAGTATAACGATTATTTTACTTGAAAAATTTAATTTATTTCTTTCATTAAAATTTACGTTGCAGGCTACAAGGTAAACAAGAGACAATGCACGGGAGCGACCTTTACGTGTAAATTAAAAAGAAGGTTTTTCCAATGGAATTAATTGGATTCATGGTTTGAATGATAAATCGACATTGCAAATGCATTTTAAAATAAATGCTTTGAAGACAAGCGAGGAGGCGAAGTGAAACATTACTTGGACGATGCCGATTGATGTTGATAAACTATGGTACTGGAATGTAGAAGATTTTTGGTTGATTGAGGAAATATGTTTCGAGAATTATATAAATAATTTATTTTTTATTATGAAGGCCAATCTCTCTCACATTTTTTTTTTTCTTTTATTATTATTACTGTATTGTAAATTTCCTATTTCTTGAAAAGAAGTTAATGATCTATTAGGGTAAACTATAAACAAAAATGATGAAAATATAGATTAATTGGGTTTGAAAAAAACAAAGTGAGGGGGGGGGGGGGGGGGGGGGGGGGGGGGGGTTGTAATTACCTTGACTCAAATAATTATAGGTTTTTCTCTAGTTTTGAAAAGAACATTCACGTTAACAACATAATTTCTAATTAATATTACCGAATGATACAATATATAGGCACGGCATATAAATATAATACCGACATGCTTCCCAAAAGAAATAAAAAAATAAAATATTCAATAGAAACTACTCTCTTCGTCTCAATTTAAAGTACTTTTTTTTTTATCATTTTTGTCTGTCATACTTTAAAGTATCAATTTTCTATTTTAAGTAAAAATAATCATACACAAGTAGCAAAATACCTTTTAGGGTCTGTTTGGTTCGAGGGTTTAGGAGGGGAGGGGAGAGGAGGAGAAGAGATGAAATTCTAAAAAATTTTGTATTTGGTTCAATTTTTTTGAGAAGGGAGGAGAGGAGAGGGTAGGGGAGGGAGAAGTTAATCTCTTTAGATTTTTATTCCCCTCCAATTTGGGGGAATTTGGAGATGAGAGATTTTATTAAATATTTTTTAATTTAATTGTCTATTATACCATTTTAATATTTTATTAAAAATTTTATAATGTTTTTAAATTTTAATATTTATTTATTTATTTTAATAAAATACTATTATTTTTAGTCTATTACAAAACCCCTCAAAGAGTCCATTTAGACCGGGACAAATGAAGTATTATTTTTTATATGCAACATTCCTAAAATATAAATCAATTAAATTTAAACAGGTAAAAACAATCATACTAGATTATATTTCACCATCTGGCTTTTATCCAACTTGAAACAAATTGGAAAGTACATTCATTAAGGAGAGCTATTGCAACGGGGATTTCAATGTTAATTGAGTCAAATTAGCAGTTTTCATACTAATTTGTTCAAGTTAGTATATTCCATCAAAACATACAGTATATAATAATACAATGTACAATACATATTGTAACTGGGAAAGTTTTAGAGTTTGGAAATATTATTATTTTGAGAATAACAAAGAGTGAAGAGTCGAGTATATTTGATGTGATATTTTATATATGTGACAAAATATGTATTTAATATTATTTTAATTTTTTAGGTTAGTTTGAATAGTGCCAAAATTTTTAAATATATATATAGATAATATTTTCTATGCCCGCCAAATTTACTTTCATTTTTTTTTTTAGTATGTGAGCTAAATTTATTACATTATTAATTTTGACAAAATTAATAAATCTAACATTTAATTATTTTTTTCTATTTAAACATATTTACAACAAATGACACTACCTTTATTATATTTTATCTCTTTATTACTTTAATTTCTAACTAAATTTTCAAAAATATCTCAAACTATCGTTTTTTTTTTAATCACTTTTTTAATAAAATACTTATTTTTTTAGTCCCCTTTCCGGACTAAAATATTTTAATTTTTGCGGACGAATAGAGTAATATTTTTATTGTAAGTTTTATTATTTGTAATACTTCCCAAAATATGCTACAAGTCTATTAATGTGGAACCTTCCCTTTGGGCTGATGTACGTGGCATAAATTATAAACTGTAATCCATCAAAAAGGGATTTCTTATGCTATCTCTTAATTTAATTACTTCCATTCAAAACTTTAAGAACAATGGGTAAAAAACTCTTCATTTGCCTCCATATCAAATCACGGTTCCACTAGATGTATTTCTACACTTTAAACTTAAATTTGGACCATACTTGAATGATGCATCGGAATGGAATGCAAACTCAAAAGGTTTGATGTGTTCAGAGTGTTGTTGTTTGGTTGAGATTCGAACAACAAACAAGCAACAAAAAGTACAGTGCAGAGTGAATCAAAACAAACAACATACCAAAGTTTGTTAACCCAGTTCGGCCCTCAACCGGCCTATGTCTGGGGGTACCAACTTAGGGCAATTCCACTATCAGTGCAGGAACAAGATACAAAAACTCTTCACACACACTCCACAAATCAACCGCCACAGATCCAACTTAAATGTATTGGTTTCCCTACCACATACAAGTGCATCTTCCTTCGCAAAGGCAAGCATGCAACGCCTCGACCTCCATTGGTTGTGCTCTGAAATGGGACGTTGTTGTAGACAGCTTGTCACATCCTCCTCCTTCGACTCTCCTTGGAATCCCCTTTGAACCAAACAAACACTCGGAAGTTGTCAATACAACAGACTGTTGTGATTCCTTCAGGATGTGATTTTGGCTTCAAATCTCCAGCAACTTCGACATGGTTCAGACCCAATATAATAGATAATAATCCTCCCAGATTTTTCTACTCAAATCATGATCTAACCTCCAAAAAAAAAAATCCCTCAAAATAAAAGAGAACACTCCCCCTCAACTAGAAATAAAACTCAACTATTACACCATGTGATTTGGGCTCTTCTTTCGGTGAAGCTGAGTAGAACTCTTCAAGTTCTCACTCTCTACTTAGAATACGAAAGATATCATATTTTCTCTTTTAGAAAATTATGAAAAGTCCCATTTCCACAATTCTATGGGTAATGTATATATACACATACACAAACCCATTTCTTCCAATCAATATTCGACAACAAATGAACTCAAAATGGTCAAATATGCCAACACACATTTCATGACACATATCTATGCATATGGGACGAAATTGATATGTCAAACTTGACATAAATGCCTAGAAGAAAGAAAGAGTCAAATATTACCTCGTTTGGTAATGGGTGTTGGAAACATTTTCTTCCTTTATTTTTGACATTTCTTTTGCATGCAATTTCGTAGAACAAAGTCATTTTGTCTTTTTATGTAGTAGGACAATGAGATATATATTTTGTCTCACCTTGAAGCTTTTTCAATGACTAGAACATCAGCCTGGAACCATGAACTCGAGTAGGTTGTAGTCTTGCAGACAGCTGATTGATTGTCTGATTTTTCTACAGATCCAAAAAGGACTGAGTGTTTCTTGCTTTTTTTCTTCATCGTTTTTTTTACTTTCCATATCAATGCTTACAGAAGTTCTCATGTACTTTTTGCCTCTGAAATATCCAGGATTTGAGTTGTCCTTTTACTTCTCAATTTTTTTTTTTTCTAATTCAAAAAATATGTGGCAAAACATTCCACATCAACAGACAACATGAACAATTTAGCACGAGTTGGTTGTATATATGATCATTTTGCGGATCTCCAATTCATCAAACAAAATTTTAGACCAACATAAAACAATATTGATTCATTCCGTCCTTTATTTTCTTCATAATTATTCCAATAAGTGGGGAACTTATTCTTTTTTTGAAGCCTCTCATGGAGAGAATATGATAATATGATGTTTAAATATTGTTGAATCTTAATTGGAATTTGTGTGAATATTACTCACAATTATATGAGACTTGTACTAAAATCAGAAAACTGCAATGCCATAATCACTGAGAGATCCAAGAATAATAGTTGGCGGAGGGCTATTTATTAATTTTTTTCATATATAATATATAATTTTAGTATATAAACACTTACAAAATTCTCATTTTTCATGGGTTTAAAAATAAAAAAATTTGACAATTAAGTTAAATATTTATAATAATAATTTTTTTTTATTAAATCAATAAGAATTTCCAATTAATGGTAACCTTTAACTCCATTATTAAAATTCTAAAAGTTATACATATAATACAAAAATGAATACATACAATACCGAAAAATCAAAATAGTTAAAGGGCCCAACACCCTTGGCCCCCTTACTAGGTCTACCATCGGTTAGAATTGAATGACAAATGAGTAAATAATCGAGTTGAAGAATTTCTCTTCCCATATGACAAACATCGAATTGCTAGTACGACGAAATTGTTGCATTACGGATGGCCTAGACCACCTCGAGTTAGCGTGAGCTCAAGTCCAAAACTATGCCAAATATGGTCCACCTCTAGGTCCATATCCTATCCATGGCGGGCGGGGTGCGCCGATGTGTGGCCAATCTTGTCTAGTGCTGTATTTTGCTCTATGAAATAAAGGACAATGCCTCCTTTGAATGTTAATTTTTCTTCGTGCACTACCTGAAAATTTGTCAAATTCTCGTGAATGAAATTGTAGCAGAATGTACCTAGCCATTTTCATAACAATTTTGATAAATTGTCGTGGAAGTACACTGCCAGACTAAATGAATTTGACTTGGAAATTGTTTCGGAATCAATTTCGAGACTGTGAATATATATATATAATAAATATTAAATCAACTAATTTTTTTGGTCTTAAAAAATCCGAAACCATTTAAAATAGTTTTAGATTCTCCGAAACTATATTAAATATTGAATGGCCTTGGAATTTCTGATGGCATATGAAATATATTATTTTATTATATTGGATGGTCTCGAAAATTTCCGAAACCATTTAAATGATCTCGAAATTTTTGAAGGCATATATCTTTTGTTTTATTATATAGAGAGGTTTCAGAATTTTCCAAGCCCATTTAAATTATGTCGTCATATTAGATATATATATATATATTATTTTTTTATGTTGAAAAGCTTCGGAAATTTTCAAGTCTTTCAAATGGTTTCAGAATTTTCGAAGCCATATTATACATTATTTTCATTATATTGAAAAGGCTTGGAAATTTCCAAGTCTATATAAATGGTCTTAGAATTTCCGAAGCCATATTATATATTATTTTATTTTATTAAAAAGGATCGGAATTTTTCAAACTTATATTAAATGGTCTCGAAATCTCCAAATATTTTATATATTTATATATATATATTTAATAAGAAGGTACAGAATTTTTCGAGCTCATTTTAAATGGTCTCGAAATTACTAAATCTTTATTATATATTTTTTTATTTTAATAAAAAGGCTCGAAAATTTTGAATTTATTCTAAATG